ACCAAGGATCCGCGGACGCCTGGGTTGGGATATCGCGTGATACAGGGCGGGGATGCGGCCGCGGCACCGCCTGGGCTGGCACTGGATCTGGACGTCACGACAGAGGACAGCTACACCATCAGGCGGTACCTGCAGGGCGTCGCCGAGGGTCAGGACGAGGTCATCCGGGAGCACGCGCTGCCGCAGGAGACGAATATGGACTACATGAACGGGATCGACTATCACAAGGGATGCTACGTCGGGCAGGAGCTCACGATCCGGACCAAGCACCGCGGCGTGGTGCGCAAGCGGATCCTGCCGTGCATGATTTACGACGTGGACAGGGCGGCGCCCCAGACGCTGCAGTACCGACCCGAGGCAGCGGACCAGGACGCCGCGAATCGCGGGCCCGAGGGCGGTCTGCCCGCGGAGTCGATCCCGCGCGAGACGAGCATCGGGAGGTCTGGCAAGAAGGGGCGGAGCGCGGGCAAGTGGCTCAAGGGCATTGGGAACGTCGGCCTGGGCCTGTGCCGGCTGGAGATCATGACGGACGTCGTCTTACCTGGCGAGACGGCCGCGTCCACCTTTGACCCCGCCAACGAGTTCTTGCTGAAGTGGGGCGAGGGCGAGGGGGACGGTGAGCAGAACAACGCTGTGAAGATCAAGGCATTCGTGCCCGAGTGGTTGAGGAACGGGTTGAACGAGGCATCTGGGTAACTGAAAAGTCAGTGCCGCTCGTATTGTAAAATAGAAAGTAAAAAGGGGTATAATCGCGTAGTTGAATCGCCGCGGCCTCGTCCGCCATCATCTCCTGCACTAAACGCAAGCCGAACCCATCCCGAGCCTGTCTAGACTTTATTCCTCGGGTCGAGAGCCTGAACGGTCTCGTATTTTTGTTTGACCTCTTCCTCAGTCGCCTGACCTGCCTCGGCAGCCTTTCTCGCTTCTTTGAGTCTCTGAGCCGCAATCATTCGTGCCTTGAGATCCTCCCATTTAGGGGGTGCTGCTGATGAAGCCGGCTTTGGTGCTGGTTCTGATGTGTTCGCTGCTACAGGCGTGCTCGCATCAGCAGTAGCGTCGCCCATCGCGCCGCCCTTCCTCCTCGCCTTCTTCTCGGCCTTGAGTCGCCTCTTCTCGTCCAGCCGTTGTTGTAGCTCGGCCAGCTTCTCATCGTATTCATCAGGCTCCCTCTCCCTCTCCAACCGCTCCAGGTTCTCCCGCTTGAACCTCTCCGACTCCTCCGCCATGCGCCGGCGCCCTTCTTCGGCAAGCCGCGCCCTCTCCCGCTCCAACTCGCGCGCCTTTTCCTGCTCTGCGAGCTTCTGCCTTTTCCCCTCCTGCTCCGCGGCCTCGAGCTCGTCAATGAGGCGCTTGCGCTGGCCCTGGACGCGGTCGCGCTCAGCCTTGCGCAGGAGGACGGCCTTGCGGGCGTTGTCGTATGCGGCGCGGGCGGCGGCGTCGAGCAGGATGTCGCGGGCCGTCTCGATGAGCTCCCATTTCTCGGGGTCAAAGGCGTCCTTGAGCTTGTCCGGGTGGTAGTTGAGCGACTGTTTGCGCCACGCGCGGCGGACGTCCTTTTCCTCGGTGACGGTGCTGTCGATCTGCAGCAGGTCGTAGAGGTCCACGTTGTTGGACGAGTACTCCTTTGCTTTGGCGAGGAGGTCTTTGTTGTTGTCCATTTTCGGCGGTATGTCGTGCTGGTTTCGTTGACGTGTATGGAATTCTGGTGATGGGATGCAAGTGGCAAGTTGGAGTTTTGCATGTGGTTCCTTGAGGCTGCTGCCAAGGTTCTCCGTCAGCTCGCGCGCGTGGAGAATGGTGGCACTGGGTGGACGTCGGGGAAAGTGGGGACGCACTTTTACGCCCGTACTCCAACTTTCATTCTTCTCAACTCCAACCACCACAGAACCATCGTCAGTCCTCTTTCTCTATCTATGTCATTTCTCCCTCATTGGGATCCCTTTCCGCCGATCTCGCCGCTTTCGCCTTCAGAGTGCCCGTCATTCAGCCTCATTCTTCTTATTGTGAAGAAATGACAGGACGAATGCCACCATAAGGCCTGGAATGGCAAGTGAGATGGAAGCAACAGCCACATACCATCACCTAGTAACGGCAGCCAAAGAGATAGTGCGCCCGCAATGATCTTATTTCGATATGTCCGACTACCCTCGCGTTTCAGCCAACCAAATTGTGAAGAGAATACTTACTACCGGCTTTCTGGGTCTACAAATCCGATTCTAATCTTTTTCCGTCATTGAGAATATCCCATCCTTCTTCCAGATTCCTGGGTCGAGTTGATCATGAAGACGACAAACGGCTAGCTAGCAGGCGTCGCGCGTGGCTTGCTCGACTTTACGTCCGTACACACAAATGTTGCCGTTGCTTGGCAGCCATTCGGATCTTGACACCACATGGCATTCTCAACCGTTCTGCAAGGATTCGACAGGGACAGAATACTCAATCTCTAGACCATCACCTCGCACTTTGCTTGCTAGTTAGGGACCCTTACTTTTTGTCCGTTGCACATCTGCTTAGAGTGTCTCTGCTCATGCAATGAAGCATCGCACTCTGGTATAGGGCTCAGGAGCACACCCATCCAGTGTTATACCTTGCGTACCATACCTACATGGCCACATATATGACTTCACCATGGCAAGCGAGCAAGCAGAAGAGGGTATCGAATGGGCACAAGTGTGTACCCATCTTCCACTGCCTACTTTCAATCCTGTGAGCAAATTTCCGACTTGGACTGCTCTAAAGAGTCCACATGAATCTTGGTTTGTGGCGTTCGTATGCTGAATGCCCTAGCCTTTGTTTCCTCCCACGAGTTCAACCTCCAAGACCTAACCAAAAGCATCCAATATGCATTGTCCGAGCTGATTGCTTAGGAAGAAGGGTTGAACGAACTACGGATAGCTAACTCGAACTGTCTTGGGGAACCAAGATTACAACCGAAGCGAGGAGCAAGCCACTCGCAGGCCAAACCTCTTCCACCTAATTTTGTCGGCTATCGTGGTCAGTGCCAGACGATAGAATAGCCTCTTCCCAGGAGCTGTTCTCGCTGAGGCTGGAGCGCTTGCAGCCAGAGAGTAGCTCATGCGGCTAGACTCGAGTTTCTCAATCGTTCCACCGCTCTCCATGGCTTTAATGAGAGCAATAGGCTCGCTTGGGGGTAGTGCGCCTCTTCATCAGCCCATTCGAGAGAACGTTCAGCTCGAACTATGCGCCCGTTCGTGTCGAACCGTTCACCTACCTCTCTCTCTCTCTCAAGTATGTCAAAAAGACATTGTAGATGCGGTCATAGTCGTCTTTGAGGCTATAGTGGACCTCCTACCACAAAGTGTGTGGCTCGTCGGCTTCGGAGCAGTTAACGTAGCGTCACAACAGGTGAAAAACCTGGTTTCAGAACTTCTGTTCAACGCCACGTCTCAAGTTGAGACAGATTTACGCTGACATTCCCGCCTGCCAAGAAATGGCGGCGGATGACGGGCAACACGAGGGTGAGAGAGCTCTCCTCCTTTACCATGACCGGTCTGGGTCTGGGTGTGATGGCAGCCGTTGGACTGACAATGCGTTTGGCCGACATGAATGAGGGCACACCACGGTTCCAAGTCCCTGGATGGGTTCGATGAGACCGATTGAATGGGTGTCTAACACTGAAGCTGGCGAACCTAGATGCGGTTGACCGCCACTGATGAAGTGTTTTTCCTGCGAATTTGCAGTCTTTGACTAGAAACGTTGCATCACTGACGAAGCTGGGAAGGGCAGCGTAAAGTCAGATTGCGGACTACCTGAACCTTGGACCCGGGTTGTCAAAGGAATCAGGTGGACGCTAGGACATCGGGGAGGATGCATGCTCCGACTGAGCGCCGGAAGAGGTTAACCACTGCCGAGAAAAACGCCGGCCGGAAGCGGCTACGACAATTCCGGACGGATGCCACATGGCTCAACGAGACGCCGACAGCTTGGATCCTGTCGGCACTATGCCATTCAGACGGTCGACGGATTCGATCTGTAACAGAATGTCTCGAAACATCGCCGGACTTGGTATAATCACTGAGAAAATTTTACGCCCACGTCGACAGGTCATTGGTTGACGGACAATATTCTTGCCCGACTCGCCCGATGCCACAATTCTGTGCCGCAATTCTCACCTGCCATCCTCTCTTCGTCCACTTCGGCTATGCCTACTTTGAGCTTCGGTCGTCGTCCACCACTGCCACAAGTCTGGAACGTCTGCAGCCTCCAGGGCGCCTTCCGCATCATGCTAAACCACCCTCTCCGTCAGACTGGCTCGTCCTTTCCATGCAGCTCGAGCTGACAGATTCCTCTGCCACCGATCGCCCGGCTTGGCGGACCCTAGCAGCTAGCCTACTTACCTTGTAGGCAGCTGTTTCCACCAGAAGGTTCCCTTGAAGCCCAGCTCGCTCTCGGTATGAGTGCCAGAAATCCACCACCTCCGATCGCCGACCTAAACCAAACACTCGGTAGCGCACGCCACCGCCTGAGAGGCGCGATGAACTCATCGCCCTTCCTCCTCGGAACTTTGACTCTTCCCAGTCGAATGGTTCCAACGGGACAGAACTTTCCCCTTTTCTGCACGTTGTGTCTCATGGGAGAACCCCACGCTGTGTCTAATTCCGGCCATCTTCTGCCTTACCTGGTGCTTTCAGCTACTATCGTCCCTTACACCCCTCGGTCCCGCTGGTTCAGGAGTGCACATCTTGACTAGCCCGGAAAACATGCTTCTTTCCAAGCCATCGTCCACATCTCCTCATCTTCATATAAGTCCTTCTTGATTTCCCTTCCTCGTGGAGGTTTCATTTGCAAAACACGCACTCAAACAAACATCGAGGAAACAACCCCACCGAACGCACGACGAAAGCCCAGCCACCAGTCCTGGAGACATTGGCGAAACGACTTGAAGGTCTTGCAACGTGTAGATGCCACTTCACACTCTAAAAACGACCACATAGCGACCTGTTCAACTTGAAAGACCGGCTCTCTCGTATTCAACCACCATGTCTCCCACCCAAATCATGACTAGGCCTTGCCGTTCGCCATTCCAGATGGACGGAACAACAGAGACGTACTTTATGAGGTACCCTGGATCAGGTCAGCATTAGTTCAACCAACCAAGCAACAAGCTTTCCCATCAGTACTCTGACACCAAGTCCAGGTGATTCCCCATCGACTCCCGCCGCAGAGCCGCTGCCCACAAAGGAACAGCTCCTCGAGCTCTGCGACTCAGTCCGGACTTCCCTCCGCCACTCAAAGAGCCTCGGTCCTCACGCGGATCGGATCCAAAGCCTCCTGGAGAGGGCCCTCAAGAACGAGCTGAATCACACCCAATCTCTCGACTTTGAGACCCTCCAGTACGCCCGCCTAGACAGGCTTCTCGTCGACGTCCTCGATCCGGCCCACCGGCCCAGTCCGCTCCCGCTCCGCTTCCGCGCCGACATGGCCTTGTGCGAGAGCTTGCAAAAGATGTGGCGGGCCCGCTTCCGCGACCAGTACTTCTCCCTCGACCAGGCCCGCCAGCGTAGCCTGTCCAACGGCGGCGAGATGCGCGACATCCAATTCACCGCGTCCGGCATGGACCCCCTCGAGTCCTGGGCCGTCAGCAACAGCTGCCGCGACCCCATCTCGGAACTGGAGGGAAACCAGCAGTTCGAGCCCGGCCAGTAAGTTCCTCCACCACCATCGCTTTTCAAAGCTATTTGCTAACATCGCCAAAGCTGGTGGCTGAACCTCGCCTGCGCGCACCGCGACGGCGTCATCGGCACAGCCGTCGAGAAGCCCACAAAGGGAAAATACGGCGTCACCGCCCTACCCCTCCTCACCGGACGCGAGGAGCACATCCGCGGCAACCTCTACCGCTACGTCCGCGAGGGCCGGCTCTCCGACATGCACGTCTCCCTCCTCACCCGCGTCGGCACCCAGATCCGCATCCTCCGCGGCTACCGCCTCAAGAGCACGCTCGCGCCCCAAGCCGGCGTGCGCTACGACGGCCTGTACACGATCCGCCAGTACGGCAACAAGCTCGACGCCGCCACGGATAAATACCGCCTCGAGCTCCTCCTCGAGCGCGTCGACGGCCAAAAGAGCCTCGACGAGGTGCAGCAGGTGCCCTCGCCCTCCCAGCTGGACGACTGGCACGCCTTTAAGAAGGTCGAGGCCGAGATGGTGCGCCAGCGCAAGGGCGACGACGGCCTCCTCGACTTCAAGATGCGCAAGGAGGAGGAGCGCATCGATCGCGAGCACTGGCGGCGCGCGAGCGAGTTCAAGGCCTCGCTGGGAGCAGAGGGCTGCGGGCTGGGGTTAATCATGTCTGTTTGATTACGAGACACCTACTGAACCCTGGACAGTGACTGCGGCAGTGGGAGGAAGAGGGAAAAAGAAGAGACGAAAAATTGGCGGTCCGAAAGGGACACACTTTCCAGGATGATTCGCAGAGATACCCTGTACTACCTAGTCTACCTGTACCACTACCTTATGAATAATGATAATGCATGACGAGCAAGAGCACAATGTTTCCATTGACGTACGGCGCTGTCTTTTGCAGGCTGGCAACTGCGCTGAGATTGACTAGTGCCTCCGCAACTATGCAGCACTTGTCGCTGGAACGTACGGTTCCTCTTAAGCTGTTTCCCCCCATAAACCTAGAAGCTGAACCACAGAACGGGTGAGTAACCATGTCGTATTGATATCTAAGAAGCCTTACTTTGCCGTAGCCCGGATAAACCAGTGGGCATAAAACTATGAACATGAAGAAAAAGCATCGCGCTTACACAGCGCAATCCTAGTCCGTTGCGAAACGGTCAGTGAATCTGAATGTCGCCAAGCCCTCCTTGAAGCTGTTCACGACAGCGTTTACATCGGTAGCAGAGTACACACCCTCGCCAGCCTTGACGCCCAGCGTTGCCGACTTGGTGAGAGCCGAACTAACGCTGCCCACCGGCTTCCCCCACCTGTAAGAGTCAATGACAAGCTGTGCAGGTCTACCGGCCGGGTACAACGGAGAAGGCTTGATGTTGCCATTGAAGAGACCGTCAGCATTACGTGCCACAATGACACCGTCGAATGACGTGGCATCAGCCTGGGCATAAGTCATGTCGACTCCGTCAGTCAGCTTCTCAGCGATGACAGTTACCAAGACACCATCAGCCGCGAAAGCAGCCTTCAACTCCTTGCCTTGGCTTACGGAGCCATTAGCTGACAGGCTGGCAAGGACGCCGACCTTCAGAGTCGCGATCGAGGGCAGCTTGTTTCCAAAGATGGATAGCCCCTGAGTGGTCTTGTTGTGGTAGTACTGCGCATCGGGCTGCAGATGTTCCATGCCTAGTGCATCGGCGACACGGTTGGCAATGTCGTTGCTGATCTTGTTCAGCTGTGTGAGAACGTTCTGCTTGACCTCGGTGGATTCAAGGTGGCTGGTTTCAAAGCGAATGGCGTTGATGACGAACTGCTGCTCGATAGGAGTCAAGGAGTTGTAGAAGAGACGCGGCTGAGACCAGTGATCCGAGAAGCTGTCGGAGATTTCGCGGACCAGTTGGCCATTGTTGGTGCGGCCAGGTGCGGTGAAGAAACCGTTGCCCTGAGTCTGGTTGGCCTGCTTGGGGAAGCCCTTGTTGAGAGTGTTCGGGGTGTCTAACATTGCAATTAGTCAGAGAGTCGATAAACATGACGAGATCACGTACAGGAGTTGCGGTTGCGGTGAATGAAGTTCTGACCAGCACCGTCTCGGTTGTTGTTGTGTACGGGGCCAATCGGACGGTTGATCGGCAACTGTTCAAAGTTGGGACCGCCGTGGCGGTTGATCTGAGTATCGAGATAGGAAAAGATACGGCCCTGCAGAAGAGGATCTTCTGTGAAGTCGATGCCTCTGACGATATGTCCGGGTTGGAACTGGGACGAGTTAGCTGTGCTCGAACAGTTTGACTGAGAAACTCACCATGATCTGTTCGGTCTCGGCAAAGTAATTGACCGGGTTGGCATCCAGCTTCATCTTGCCGAGCTTTTGGAGGGGCGCAATCTCCTCGGGAATGATCTTTGTTGGGTCTAGGAGATCAAATCCAAACTTGAGGGTATCCTCCTCGTCGACAACTTGTACGCAGAGCTCCCACTCGGGTCCATTACCAGATTCAATCGCATCCCAGAGGTCCTGGCGGTGATAGTCGGCATTCTTGCCCGAAACGATCTGGGCTTCCTCCCAGACCAAGCTAGCCTTGCCTTGTTGTGTCTTCCAGTGCCACTTGATAAGCTTTGACTTGCCGTCGTCCGTGACCGCGCGGAAAGTGTGCACACCAAAGCCATCCTAGAAGTGTAAGTCAATGTTCGACGACAATAAAAACGCAACTCTACTCACCATGTGTCGGTAACTTCTCGGGATACCGTAGCCAGCCATAGCCCAGAACAAGGTATGAAGAGTGGTCGTCTGAGAGCTGAAGAAGTCCCATGCGGAATCATGGGCTGTCGCAGCTTGCGGGATTTCATTGTCCCCGCGAGGTTTTCTACGAGAGTCATGGTATCAGTACTTGAGACGGTACATAATGGAAAGGCTACAGCAAGTCTTACACTGCATGAATTAAGTCTGGGAACTAGGCAACGTTAGCTTATAGTACTCGTTGTAGAATCAAGAGCTCCCGAGTTCAGGCCGTGATGAAGCTCGCTTGGAAGGTATTATCGACGTACTTGAATCGCGTCTTGGATAAAGAACACCGGAATATTGTTTCCAACAATGTCAAAGTTGCCCTCGTCAGTAAAGAACCGAGTGGCGAAGCCGTGGACATCTCTGGCCGTGTCCGCACTTCCCCTTGATCCAGCAACGGTAGAGAACCGCACAAACGTTGATGTTTGCTTCCCCGTCGCGCCCAAGAAGGAAGCGGCTGTGAGGTTGCTGTAGTCGCCATAGCTCGTAAAGGTTCCGTAGGCACCGGCGCCGCGGGCGTGGACAGCTCGTTCGGGTACCTAAGCAGGAATGATCAGTCAGGAGATACCAATTGGAGCTGGATAGACATCGGACTCACCCTCTCGTGGTCGAAATGTGTAATCTTTTGGCGAAAGATGAAATCCTCCAATAGAGTCGAGCCACGGACGCCGGCCTTCAAGCTGACTTGGTCCTCAATTGGGCCGCCGACGTCGGATGTGAGGTATGGATCGCCCGTAGAGTCGTCGATCTCGTAGCCGGAGACATGGCCGCGAGAGCCATCTTCGGCTCGAGCTTTGATATTGGCGGGGTCTGCAAAGGGACAGCCGGCAGAAGAGAGGGTAGCAAGGCCGAGACTGGCCAGCAGGAGGGTGGTATGCATGTTGGATCAGCGATCAGAAAGATGTCTGTATGCCTGCATGAAATGTTCCCTCGGTCGATGATGAAAGATTAAGTAGACTGAACAAGCACTTCTTATTCTCGGAGGGTTAAAGAAAGGGGACAGCCGTTGGGGAAAAAATTCAACAGTGCCGAGGGACGGTAGGCCACTTAAGGGCTCCAGAGGCTTGGGTTGACAGACGGAGCTCGGTCTGAGCTACCCATGGATCCTACAGAATAACAGCAGCAAGGGGAAGGCAGGGAGCTTGATGAAGTCAACAAGAAAATCCCGATCTGGGAGGAGAAAGACCACTGGTCGGCGCACAAGCTTCAAGGATTAGCTACTGCTCCTGCTAATCCTGGACACATGAAGGTAACCATGGCAGGAGAGTATCTTTTCCAGAACGGATCGGGGAAAGTAGACTAGTAACGCTTGCCCAGAACAAATCCACATCCACATCCCGAGCAACAGCATCAGCAGGAGGAGGAGGTGAGCACGACGCGCTGCTGCCTTTTCCAAATAGGTGTGCCGGGACGTCAGGTAGGATGAGGAGTGATAGCATCATAATCATCTCAGGTGCTTTCTCCACTACACTAAAGAGAGGGGCCACAGTGAAGAGAAGAGGAGGGGCTTGCTACCAGCGCTGTCGAGTTAGAAATCCTCTGATGTGATTCAATGGAGAAGCGCCCACGGTCCCGGGAGCTCTGATGATGTGTGCTGGTAGCTTGCCTTGGCCTGCATTTGTGTCTCACGGCCGAGGCCGACAAAACGTCGACGGCGTACCGTACCATTAGACGTGCATTATGAGCCAGCCACGCTGCTAGCTAAGACAATTGGGAACACTCTTTCCCGCGGGGCTCTCCTTTCTTCCAAACGACGAGTTTCTTCTCCTCATACGGTGGGGGCCGAGCAGTATTGTTCATTGGAAACATAGCTTGCGGAGGAGAAAAGGGAACAGAAAACTTCAATACCGAGCGCCGTTTGCAACGCTTGGAATGCCTGCCTTATTTTTCTTTCCTTTCTTTTCTTTCTTTTCCCACGTGCTGACACCTTACGAAACAAGGTTACATCTAGACGACATGGGCCAAGGGGGTGATCCAAAGAGGGCCAGAGCTCGATGGTGCACAAACGGCTCGCGGGAAACAAACGTGGTTGGCGAGGAACGGCACGGCAGTTGGGGGCGGCGGCGGGCTCCAATATCACTAGCGAAGCGAGCCCCGGGCGGGAAAAGCAGATGTGGCTTGCGGAAGATCGAAAGAAAAGAAGCCACTTGGGCTAGCGATGGATGCCATCGTCCCAAGTCTGTGCAAGCCCGTGCTTCATTAAAGGGTTTGGTGGTTCGTTTCTTCAAATAGTCTTCTTGGTTCTGTAGCCTTGTACAATGGAAATGAGAAAAGCCTTCGTGTTGTGGTGATTATTGTGCAACGTTAGAGAGACGAAAGCCGAAATTCCAAAATAGCTCCAATGATCTATTGTGGTATTCGGCTACAGGGAGAGAGGTGAGCCACAAAAACCGGGAAAAGGTAACAGGAAAGGGAATTTCGCGGCGAGGGAAAAAAAGAGTTGCCAGTCCACTTTCATCTCATCTATGACGACAGCTGAGGCGGGCAGGTTCAATCTGAATTGATAGACCAGGGTGTGTTGTTGTTGAGATGAACTACCTACAGTAGCTCCGGATTACCCATGTCGAAACAAAGTCTTTGTCCTGCAGTCTAGAAAAGAGGTCGGTTGTAACTTGTGACGGGGAAAAAGGGCTTTGCGTATCCGTGGCATTTCTCCTGATTTCTAAGGAATGAGAGAGACACGAATGGGATCAAAAGCAGCTCATCCCGGATGTAGTACGAATCCCCGGCGCTGGGATGGAAGAGGAAAAGAGGCGGAGAGCTGTGTGTGAGGACGAGATTGAGGTTGAGGTGTGAGTGCGAGTGTGAGGGTGAGGTTCGAGAATGCCGAGCCATCATCGTCATCGGGCGGGCCCTCGTGTGGGGCCGTGCTTCGCTGATCACTCGGGAAGAAACAACACCAGCAGCCTCTCACGCGTCTGTAATACAAATCACCTAAGTCGCCAAGCGAGGTCGGTCGACATGGGGGCGGGTCAATGGGTTACAGCGCAGCCCGCCACGATATGTCTCTCGATCACATCTTTCTCTTCACCTTCCCAGCGGGTAAAGTGAGTTCTGCGAGTTTCCGGGCTTGAGGCTCATTCACCTGGGTCTTGATGCAAGCGGACGAGCTTGACGTGCGCCAGAAATGTACATTCTTTTGCATGGAGCCTTCCTATTTTCTCCATTTCATCTCGGTCAAAATGAGACGATTGCTTTCCAGGGCTCTCTCCGCTGCCAAAGCAAGACGAGACGGTTCGGCACTTATCGGCGAGACGGAAGCGAGTGCGGGAAGATCATACGCAGGAGGTCTTTATGGATTGCTCTGTGCGACCAAAAGGAAGACTCATGTACTGTCCGAAGTTTTAAACCCATGATTTGTTGCTCATGGAGCAGAAATCCTCCCGGAGCCAATCCCGAGGTCCCCCGCCCACTCTCCGTCATCTGTTCATCATGAGGGAAAGCTGTCCGTCCAATAATCGGGAAATCGGGTTTTCAGCTAGCATGGCACTCTCCATGGCTTGCAAAACTAGAACAGAACGAAAGCACAAAGTCCAAAAGTCTGGACAAAGAGAAAAATCCTTGAAACGTGCCCTGTTCGGGTGCAGGGGAGCCGCTGCAGGCTATCCGGAGGTATGTCCGGCTCGGAGCCGGGGTGTATCGATGTGGACTCCAAAAAGCACGTAACATGGCACGCGACAGTAACACCTTCTCTTATTGACTATATCTCTCATTTGGCTCAGAGCTTCCTCCTCTGACGACACGCAGTAAGGGTCCATTCTGTTCTACCAATTACCGTGGGATGTGAAATGTCTCGGCACCGTGTTGGGCAGTCGGCTTTGCTTTCATCTCGTTCTGCATCAGCCTCTTCCCACATTCCCCGCTGATAGCGTTGAGTTTTCTGAAATTGACCTGTCCTTTTCACACTGCATACATGCATACTGCGTGCGTGCTGTGTTCCTCATGCATCACTATTTATAGCCCTGCCATGCTATCCTCATAAGCAGGGTAGAACTTAAAGATTCAATCAGCCTACCTAAAAATTTCTGACCATCACTGAATTCACAGGCAGCGTTGAGGCCCTACAACATTGGATCTGCTTCTTCTGTGAAAGAGAAATAACATGATCCTCGTAGCGTTGCAACTAGATGCAGATCCTACCAAAGACCAGGCCCCAGTCGTTCGAAAACACACAGGGAAAGCAATTCGCCAGGTGAGAGACAGGTTGAATAGGTAGGTATGTACAATGTACTACCGTTGAGCAGCCGTTTGGCCACGATTCCCATAAGTCCGGTTCGCTTCGTGTTCTTCGGGAGGAGCCCGCTCCATTTCCCGACCGAACCGACGGCCGGATTCCCGAGGCGTGTGGATCTGGTATCTGTCAAAGAACGGAACCTACGAGGCGATTTGAAATCATGGAGAATTAAGTAAGACCCTCTCCCGTGCCTCTTGATAATCGTACCGATGATCAAAGTAGTCGAGACATTTGCATTGGTTGAGAAAGTCCACCAGATCGATCTTGTATTGAGCCCAAGCCGAGATCAGGGACAGCAGGCCATTTGTCTCACATTCTTTTCTTTTAGCTCCAACGGTTGCGAAGCCGTCGCCCCATCCACACATGAGGTTCATGAAACGATTTAAGAATAAGAGGGGACACGGGTCCATTCGGACTTTTCCTTTCTCGTACTTTTCCTTTCTCGTACTTTTCCTTTTTCGTAAGCAAACTGTCACGGGACATGCCTCTTTTGACGGAGGTGTAGCTAAGCGAACTCGCCTTACTTGAGCCATTGTACACGGTCAAGGAGACTAACAGTCAAGGGTCTCAAGCTTTCAGAGCTCAAGACCGAGAAACCCAGCGAAACACTGTACTATGCGGATATCTTTTCGCGGAAAAAAAGCGAACATGCATAGTTCAACCGTAGGACAGCACTTGGACGGCAAACATTGCACACATTGAATTGACACATGAGAACTGGCTCGTATTGGTGGGGTCTTGGTTGAAGTTCATTGCTTTTGGTGTAAATGAGATCCTAGCTCAATGGCATCCTCTGGTATCGGCCATGGCTAACCCAAGTTGTTCCCCCAAACGCCAAATGTCCCACGCCCCTTGATTTTTTCATTCTTCCATCAAAACTTTTGGATTTCCCAACGCTTAGTAGAAGAAGCCGATGACCTTGCCGGCAACGTGCTTGCGACGGGCCTCCTCGTGGTCCATGATACCAGCAGAGGTGGTGAGGATGACGTAGCCGAACTGACGGGCAGGGAGCAGCTTGACAACCCACTTCTCGAGGTCGGAGAGACGGACGTTGTAGCGGGGGGAGATGACACCGCACTTGTTGAGGCGGCCGTTAAGCTGGACAACGATCTTGCCGGAGCGGTGGTCATCGACCTCCTCGAAGCTAGAGATGTAACCTGTATTGTTGCTGTTTAGCGATGTTGTCGCGGTGGTTTAAAGCTTAGACATCAGGAGAAAAAAATCCGAAAAAGTTGTAAGACCTCCGCTATTTATCTATCGGCATCTTATAGGGGCTGAGTCGTGGGAAGAAAAGACGGTCGCCCTAGTTATCATGCCGAATGTACATCCATCCATCCAAAATGTCCTCCGAGTTGAAGAAGAGAAAGAACAAGTAGAAAGAAGAGTGTGTTGTGCTGACATACCGTGGCGCTGCATGACCTGGAGGAACTTGACGATGACCTTGGAGCTGGGGCGGATGAGCACCTGGCGCTTGCCGGCCTTCTCGGCGTTGTTCATGCTCTTGAGAGCATCGTGGAGAACGGAAGTGCGGACCATCTTGGCGGTTGATGTATGCGGAGATTCTCAAGTCTCGGGAAATGAGGTATCTGCCAGCGAAGAAAATTGCATGTTAGCCTTCCAATGGCCTGTTGAGCGTGGAGAGTGCCCTCCCAGGCGACAATCGTCCGACAGGAGGGTTCTGCCAGCTCGTTGCTGAAGAGGAGAGCGTATCAGATGTCATGGTCGTTCGGCGTCGGGTAGCCGCCAACCAAAGGGGCTACCGCATCGTCCGTCAAGGCGAAGATGGAGGTCGAAATAAAATTGGTATCTCGTAAATCGCACGACTCGTCTGATTGCTCTCCTCCGGCATCAAGGAAAAGGCAAGAAGTTCCTGTTGGATCAAGTCGCCATCGTGGGCGCGAACAAGGTGGTCTATGCCTTGATTCAACTTACCTCGTGAATTGAACGGTGCCGCTGAAGGGGTTGATTGGCAAGTTTGTCGGTGAGAAGATCGTGAGGGAAGACGGGGCGCAGAAAAGTCCAAAAGGCTGTGGGAGAAATCCCCACACTGCCACGAAAAAAATTGGTCGCTTGTGGGTGCACGGACCACCCACAATTTCTAACCCTCGAAAGGGCACGGGCGAAGTGACCCTTCCACGAATGATCTTTCAGCGCATTTTCTGCTTGTGCCCTCGCATCACGCCAAAAGTTCACTTTATTCATACACTACCCAAATTACAACACAACATAACTCTTCGAGGATCGAACCGACAGGAACTTGACCAACAACTTTCAAGATGGTGAGTTCGCACCGAGAACCCCTCCCCAATGTGGCCCCCCTCGAATGACGGACGCCTCCCGGCTGCTCGCGAATACCTTCAATTGGGATTATCCGGGTGCTTGGAAGTTGTCGCGTGCGCGCAGGCCAATTCGGCTCATCCCACTTCGTGGGAAGGAGGACGACGATGATGTCGACTTGAACCCCGGAGGAAAACACTTTGGCTAACCAATGCCCTTGCGCATCTCGTACAGTCGGACGTAGAAGAGAACAACGCCCCCGAGGTGGCCGAGGAGGTCGAGGTTTCCGCCGATGCCGGCTCCAAGGGCCAGATGTCCGTTCTTGACGCCCTCAAGGGTGTCCTGAAGCTCGCCCTCATGCACGACGGTCTTGCCCGCGGTCTCCGTGAGGCTTCCAAGGCCCTCGACCGCCGCCAGGCCCACATGTGCGTCCTCAACGAGGCTTGCGAGGAGGAGGCCTACAAGAAGCTTGTCATCGCTCTCTGCTCCGAGCACAAGATCCCCCTGATCAAGGTGCCCGACGGAAAGCAGCTCGGCGAGTGGGCTGGTCTCTGTGAGTACACCTACGGCATATGCTGCCATACATCTGTATCGAGAGATGAACAATAGCTAATACAGATCGACAGGCGTGTTGGACCGTGAGGGTAACGCCCGCAAGGTCGTCAACTGCTCTTGCGTCGTCGTCAAGGACTGGGGTGAAGAGTCCCAGGAGCGCTCCATCCTCCTCAACTACTTCCAGACTGAGCAGTAAATTTGGGTATGACTTCATGATTTGAATTTGGGCGTCACTATGGGGAGAAGGATTTTTAGAGGGGTGGCGGGGAAATCTGGAACCGTCGCTATGAACGATCTTTCGGTTGTACTCTAGCTTCTTCAGCTGGCATCTCGAAACAAAAAATGGAGGACTCCCTCTGGAGGTCAGGTCAACATGCATCAAGGACAAATAAAGAGAAACGGCATTGGGCACTCTTGAACCAAACAAAATGTGTGCAATATTGATATTGTGAGGCGACTGATGAGAACGTAGCGGGGTCTGCCTATTTCCTGCCTTCAACCTGCGTGCGCGAGTCAGTACATACCTGGCTTGAGCTTTGGTGTAATTGAGTCCTACCATGATGATGTGGTATCCAAACTCCGTCTTGGCCTCTCCGTAGACGGGGCTCGCCGTTGTACTGGCGCTCAGAGCAAACGCAACGTCCTCGAACTTTGGGTCCAGGCTACCCTTTGTCTTCCAGCCCAGAGCACCACCTGTGAACCAATCAGCATGGGTCCTCACCCTCGATGAAGCTGCTCATGATGGGCATCACTCACCTTGTCTTGCCTTGTCCTCGGAGAACTCTCTCGCCACCTCATCAAACTTGGTTCCGTCTCTCAGCTTAGCCAAAGCCTCCTCCTTCTTGGCATGCTTCTCGCACTGGCATCAGTGGTCAGATTAAAAATTCCCAAGAAAATCCCACAGCTAGAGAAGACGATGCTCACCAAGATGTGCCGGACATTGATGGACTGCGCGCCCTTGGCCGCCTTGCCGCCCTTGTCGTCGCTCTCACCCTTGGCACCCTTCTTCCCTCCAGCAGACTTGCCCCCGTCCTTCTTGTCGGCCGGCTTCTTGTCGTTCTTGCCCATCTTGAGGTAGCTGCGGAGTGGTGTCGGGCGTGATGCGGACGATGAAATTTGGCCTGGAGGGGTTGGATAGTGGGGGAATTGACTATGGCGGCAACCCCCACCATGAAAAGACTCTGTCAACGGCGGCTGCGACCAATGGAGTGCGGGGAAGCCAACTTCAACACCACGTCTGATCATCCGACAGCATCTTAATGTCGCTCAGAGTGCGATTTCCACGGCTCTTTCGTAAAACGTTTTGTCTGATTTTTACTATTGTGATCAAAACTGTTTCCCATGCCAAATATTGTCTGACCGAAATCATGGATCGGTCGACGGCCGTCCTCGTCGGGCACCGTTCTTGCAAAACTTGTATGCGAAAAGGGTTGCAGCTCTTCGGATTCCCAAATCCACAACCAGAGATAGTCTCTTAGAAACGCCAATGAGTTCCTCCCATGACATTAGATTGGGAAGATCTTGTCGAAGTTCAAGCTACAAATCAGTCCTTGCCATTCCGCAGTGGGAGGTGACCGCGAGGCAACGATCCTCTATTTCAATGAAGATGAGTTGAGAAACAACCTTTCTTTGAAATTGCTTTACCTGATGTGTTTGAGTGTGAACTGAGGCGAACCCAGGCCACGTATCACAGTTTGCAAATCCAGCAACGCCTCGATCAACGATTTGGATGGCATTCTGAAAAGTCTAGTAAATGCAATTCTTTTCTACGGGTATCAATACACTATTCTCTCATGGCCTCCACAGCTTGTCCAATTAACTCAAGAAAGGCACCCTCCTCGATCCGAATATCGGCCCAGTGCCATCGGTCTCGTCGGACAAGACCTCTCTTCCTGCCCTTATCATCCTCCTCATGTCCCACCATCTCGGCGTGGGTGCTAAAGTACTTATGGCCCAACATCTGCGCCACATTCCTGAATCCCTTGTGGGACATGCTCGACGGTTGAATCTCAACGACCGCGGCGCCGTTCTCCCGGAGAAACATCGTGTGCGTCAGTCCCGCGCCGTGAACGCCTACCAGGATATCGGTGGACTGTACAATTCGAAGCTGTTCGGGGAAGGTCACCGCTCCTAGGTCGATTGCCTGAAAGTGGGCGTCGGGGAACGCTTTTCGAGCTCCGTCTAGTAAGACTTCCTGGTCCAGGAGCTTGCGGGAGCCCCGTCGATCGATGAGCGTGACGTTGAGTGGTTTGCCTTGTCGCCGCCCCGTCTCGAATTCGACGCCAAATTGCTGCATCACTCGACGTGTAAAGACCTTCAGTAGCGGCGCGTCCTTGCAGTCTCTATCTTCCCAATCGTTCTGCCACAGAGGGTTGCTCCCTCCGGCGAGCGGAATGATGAGGTTCTGAGGCGTCTCGGCGAGGGCCTGGGCTTGCACTGGGTCTTCCAAGACCTTGCTGAGGCGAAGTGGCTCACGACCTGCAAACATTCCCCATAATGGATATAGAGGTCCTTCTTCTTGGTTGTCCAGGAAGACTACTTGGGTTCGTGGGACGTCCCCAGGGACGGTAAAGAAAGGTTTGTTAAGATCGTTCCCGTCGTGACTGAGACGCAAGACGTCGAGGGACATAACCATCGACCATATCTCCATGAGAGAGTGCCAGATGTTGGAGTGGCCTTCCCTCTTCACGAGGATTGTGAACGGGCGGCTACCATGATGGGTTGGCGCTTGCGTGACTGAGGATGGCGATGCCCCAGCTTGAACCTTGACGAAGTTCTGGAATAGGAAGCCCGGACCGGTGTCGTACCAGTAGTTTCTGATATTTGAGAAGGAAATGATGCCATTTGCTGTTTCGTTGCCGGTAGGTTGCCGCACATCGCAGTCCACATGGAATTTACCGCTTTCGCGGTCTAGTACGGCGCCCTGGCCGATACAAAACGAGTCGCGGTTGTCGTTGGATTGTGTATGACTGTGGAAACATGTCAGGTTTGCGCTTGACTCTGCCGAACAGTACTGAATCCTTTGATCGCGGAGTTCGTTCAGATATCGAGGACCGAAGCGTTTGGCGCAGAATTCCGACTCGGGCAGGTCCGGCTTGCTCAAAGTCACGAGTTCCGGTAGAGAAATCAGAACCTCTTGCTTAGGCGGCCGTGGTGTGGGGTGGAATGGGTTGTGGAGAAACGACAGCCTCTCGCCAGTTTGTGTAGACTGAGACGACGATACAAGAAGGTGAAGAAGAATCATTGTAAGCAGCGCCGCCGCCCCGGCCCGCTTGCTCTTCGGTAGTAGACGTGAACGCATAGTGAGCAGACATACGGAGAACCCATAGGAAGCCGAGCGCCGAAAGTTGTTCGGTTGATACTTGATACCGGGCATGATAAATCAAAAGGAGGTCGGGAAGAGGCAAAACGTGACGTGAGTCCCGCCGGTGGGGAGGAGAGAATGGTTGATAAACTTGCTCCATTCTCGGAAGACAAACAAAGCAGGCAAACGAACAAGGCTGGATGGTGGGTTCAGTTCTTGTGTGCAAGGCAGGCAGCCTCAGCCCCGTTCGGAATAACCACCAACATGCTGCATGCCTGACCAACAAAGGCTCAGGGGTGGGCGGACGACGAGAAAGGTGCGCTCTATCAGCGCGGCCTACCAGCTGTTGGAAGGCAGTGAGAATAATTTGTTTTCTCTCCACCCACGTGCATCTCCCAGCAGTTTCCCCCATGCACTTAGCCGCTGATAACTTTCTGTTGGACGGAGAAGGTACCCGACCCCGGTCTCCTGCAGGGGGCCATGAGGTCTTACAAGGCTTAGGCAGGATGGATTCCGGATTTGAATATGAGTTGTGTTGGACCGCTTTACCTCCCTCAGAAGGTAAGTTGGCACATGGCTGGCCTCTTTTGGCAGCAAACTGTCCCATCACAATACTCTGATACGGGTGGTCGTCGGCCCATCCAACGGCTAAAGTGGGGCGCTTCCGTTGTATCACCGGACAAACCAACTAGCCAACCATCCTACTCCTAACGTTGCGCTTTTCCCAGAAAACTTTCCCATTTTCGAATCAGTATGATCCGGTGTTCTTGCCAGAACTCAAGATTCTTGTCCAAGGAGATATGTTGCGGTGACTCGTCGGGCTTTGTCGGGTCCGAATCGCCTGGGTCATCTATTGTTTTGCCCACGTCCAATAGACCCATTTATTTTGAGGCACAGACCAATGGTTTATTAGCTTTAAGGTGCTGTTGGTACAGAGTAGCATCCCGCCAAATCTTACCAGGATCTGTATGAGAGGATGTGATGAGAGAGTGTCAGTACCCAGCTCTTGGGCGGCGCAGGCCAATGGCAAATCAGTTCGAGATGCTGTTGGTAGCACCTCGTTGTCGCTGACCAGGATTATCAGGCGAATATGGCAAAAAGTCTGGCGATGGTTTTTCGTTTTTTTGCTGAAGAAGTACGTACTCACTGAACTACTGAGAAGCCATAAAGATGGCAGCAGTCTCTGCTCAGCACATCCGCCAACTTTTGCCCTATCATTACCACCACTATCAATACTCGTCCTAAGTATACTGTGACAAGTTGATATATCATTTACCACTTACTTTGGGATAGAGACCTCGGGAACTGTCACTAAGAGGTTTGACAGTAATAACTGAGGCAAAACTAAGCAGTATACATGTATGTGTAACATGGCCGGGCGACTGTAGTGTCACCTATTTGGAAGCTATACAAGGGCTATAGGCTTGTGGATTCGAATCCTTAACCAGGATCCTCAGAAGCAGGCTGTAATAAAAGAACGGCAGGCTGCAGCGCAAAGCCCGGCCACTCCCCTGTACCAAATCCGAGTTTCCGAAAGACTTGATGGATTCACAGCCATCTTCCGAAGTCAACGGAGAATCTGTTCTCCCTGTTATTTACCATCACCACCTTGGCTTTATAGAGCTTTAAGGAGGTCAAGTTGTGTTCTGCTTGTTACCACCATCGACCGGCGACTCGTGTAGGCGATGGAGCCTTCAACTCTGACGGCTCATGGCTCGCTAGCCGTTCTATTGATTCTGCCAGCATATCTCGCGACACTGGTTCAGTCAGCTTGTGCACCATATCCTATTCCCATACGACTCGGCAATGTTTCATTATCAAACGGCCAGGTAGCAAGAGGGTTAGAACTAGCCATTGGGGAACCCGAGCAGAAGTTCGCTTTCATCCCACAGAGGTATTCAACCTAAGCATATACTGTTTTCTTTGCTGATTCTGTGGTACATTGCTAACTAATTTCTCAACTCAGTGGCCAAAACGGCACGTTGTTGTACGGCACCAACGGTGTTTGTACTCTTCGCGGCTCTGACAAGTGGTCCAAGGACGGCTGCACTTCTTTTCGAGGAGGTTCTTATGAACCACTCGCATCAAAGACAAGCAAAACGACATCACACGATGCAATCCCTGAAGATGACGGATGGCCAGATGTCAACCCTGTCGTTGATACGATGAAACTTAACAGCAACCTTACGCTCGATAACCTAGCCATGGGTACAGCGATGAGCGATTGGGATACTCAAGGCTATTACGCCATGATGGGACTCGGATTAGGATCAAACTCTACCATATTGAGGGTCCTAAAAGAGTCAGGCAAAATTGCCTCGCGAACGTGGAGTCTCTTTTGGGGCCGCGGCTTTGGAATGTCCTCTCAGCTGGACGGTCATCTTATATACGGAGGTTACGACCGAGCAAAAGTGTCCGGAAAGCGATACACCCAGTCCCTGACGCCCAACATTGCTCAGTGCAAGTCACAACTCGTGGTGACAGTCACGGATCTGACTATGAACTTCGATAACGGTACAGACGTCAGCATTTTCCCGTCAAAGTCGAGCGCCATCTCCACCTGCATCAACCCAACGCTTCCGCTGATGATGAGGATGCCTCTGGATCCTTACTTCTATAACTTTCTTGACTATACGGACAATACCATCGAAAACATGACTCGCTCCCTCGGGTATCACTACTGGAACATGAAATACCTTCCCAACCAAAAGCCGTATGTCCCCCCTAATCCCCAAGTCGTGTACAGCACTCCAAGCTATTCAGGTCAACTGTCCACTTCATGATGCTGACAGAAGTTGTGACCATAGATACGACGGTGCTCTAACAATCACACTCTCTTCCGGTTTGAAAATCCGTGTTGACCGCGATAACCTCGTTCTACCACACGTGCTACTCGATGAGCAAACAGGAGAGATGCTCGTCAACGCAACAGAGAAGGATATGCTCATCGACTCCATGCAGGATGTCAACAAGAACGACATGGCGCAGCTCGGCTGGCAGTTCCTCTCCGCCGCCTACCTTCAAGTCAACCACGACACTTCCGAATTCTCGCTCTGGCAGGCAAACCCCACGTGGAGCCAAGACATCGTGGCTCTAGACTCCGGTGACAACGACGTCACCGACTTCTGTTCTTCCCAGTCCAGCGAAGGCAATAAGACCGTGAATGGCGGTGGGGACGTCGGCGGCAGTGGGGAGAGTAGCGGGAACGACTCGTCGGCAAGCACAAGCTCCCCGGGCCTCTCTCGCGGAGCTATCGCCGGGATTGCCGTTGGCGGAGCCGCAATTGTGGCCCTCATCATTGGAACTGCAGTATGGTTTCTCAAGAGAAAGAAGTCGAAGGCCCCTTCAATACCCTCGCCGGGAATGGGGCAGAACGCATCGTGGCTGCCACAGCCTCCAGGCCAAGACCTTCCACCCAAGACACCACCAAGGTGCGAGTTGGAAAATGGAGATACCACAAACTTCCGGCGGTATGAGATGGCGGGATGAACAGTAATGAAGGGCCGACGCAGTCGTGCCAGAAATAATGTTACATATTGATGACGTTCGAAGGGGGGTGGCTTTTCTTCTTTAGATCTAGAACCTATTTTGTATTATACCTCACGAACACTTCGTCCTCGTCTTACCCTCTAGCTAGCCTCTTTGGCAGAAACAAGTCAGTATTCTATCCTCGGCGACACCCAGTGGCTTGTACTGTTCGGGGTATCTCTATTTTTTGGTGTTTCGGTCTTGAAGACATCGTTGGTCTTCGAGATTAGTTGAGTAGGAGGCGCACGGGCCTTGTAAGCGGTGTACTGACCCCGCGGTCATAACTGAGTGATTGTGAAGTCTGGCATTTGTCATCCCACTGAAAAGTGGACGGAATGAAAACAAGTCAGTTCGTACTTGGAAGACTGAGGATAACATTGATGTCTAAACAAAATTGGTGTTTTCTTGTCTTACAAGGCGGTCTAGGACTCTTGCAGTACAGGGATCGTGATCCAAGGCGAACTTGTGATTTGTCATACAAGTAGATCTTCAAAACCCACTCTCAAAGACTTGGTAAGCAAAAATGCCATTCAGCTTACCAAACATAGCTAAAAGATGTCAGTCCTTCCTCGGAGCCAATTTGTCCGTCCGTGTCTAAAGTTTCAGTGTATGCGGGGTCCGCGGTAGGCAGATCGTAGCACCGGAAACAGTTTCCAAGTTAGGTGCAAGCTGAGCGCAACTATTTGGGTTTCCTACTCATAAAAGAGCTTGCCAGAGTCCCCCTCGCCACCGATTTAAAGATAGCTAATCAGATTAACCGAACATAACGACTGAGACTTGAAGTTTCAGTAAACATCAAGTATTGTTCAGTTGACTCTATCCATTTAACGTTGAATCCAATCCACTTAGCAACAATTCCAACAAATCCCCACAAAAAGCCGCACCAACAAGACCAAAATGGCATCTGAGAAGCTTAAACCGATCAGGGTCTGGACCTCCAAGAACGGCCCGAACCCATGGAAAGTCCATTTTGTCCTCGAGGAGCTTGGGATCCCCTACGAAGAAAAGTACATCGACTTCCCCGACATGAAGAAGCCGCCCTTTGAAGCGATCAACATCAACGGGCGCGTACCCGCCATCGAGGACGGCAACACGGGTATCATGCTGTGGGAGTCCGGCGCCATCCTCGAGTACCTCGTCGAGACGTATGACAAGGAGAAGAGGTCAATCAGCTTCGAGCCGGGCACGGCCGACTACTTCCACGCCAAGCAGTGGCTGCACTTTCAAATGTCCGGTCAGGGCCCGTACTTTGGCCAGGCCATCTGGTTCCACCGGTACCACTCCGAAGACGTGCAGAGTGCCAAGGATCGGTACGTCAAGGAAATTCGGAGGGTTTCCTGGGTCCTTGACCGGGCACTCGAGGGACGCGAGTTCCTGGTGGGCGACAAGTGCTCCTATGCGGATATTGCTTTTATCCCCTGGTTCAATGTCGCGTTCTACCCGTGGTATAACATGAAGGTTCCTGGTGCATTTGCGGATCAGATCGATTTTGCAAAGGAGTTCCCGAACACGGCCGCGTGGATGGACAGGCTCAGAGCTAGGCCTGTCATTGCGGAGACCTTGAAGAAGAGAGCTGCAACTCTGTAGAAGAAGAAAAAGCGTAGATAGTAGTCCGTTCATGGAGTCAGATGAAAATACATGTCAGTATTCAAGCAAGCGCGTATATGAGAAAATGCGTTGTGACGTGCTGCACATTACGACATAGAGACATCTCGGCCCGAAGCCCCCACTATTTGCGGAAGAGCCATCCGGGCCCGCCTCCGGGCCGCTTTTTGTCAGCCTAAAGGAGGCCGAGATCGACCCGGACGAGCGAATCTCGTTCAGGTCTCTCAGCGGCTCGTCCAGGAAGCCGGATAGAAGCCCGCTTTCATCGCTCTCGCTTCCTCATACGCTGCGATATCTGTACCCGCTACAGTGGGGAAGTGAGTGTACAACAGCCCAGAAGAATGAGGTTGGCAGGTGCCATTGTATCCGAATCAGTGAATGCAATTGGAGAACACGGAAGCGGGCGGAGGGCAAACACCGCTCGGAGCCGATTGCAACCTTGAGATCATTAATGTGTGTCTTTGCTTCGGACTGGTATACTTGCCTTATCCGGACGAGTGGGAAACTTGCGTTTTGGCACATGGCAAATCAGCGTCGATGCAAAGTCGATTATTCGCGGCTCGCGTCCTCGCGTCGAAAAAAAAAAGTGGGATTTCCGGAGCGACCTGGGACCTGCAGCTTATGAACCATGAAGTTTGAACGCCCTACCACGCGCAGACAGGCACGTATTGGACCCAATCTCTGCGTAAAACCGAGATCTCCGAGTAATGGAATTTTCTCTTAGCTCGGCACCAAGGAGCCCAGCGTTATCGCTGGCAAAGGTTGCCTCACCGTCATTGATGGAGCTTTCTATCGTTAGCCTTGTGGGAATAAACCGGGATCTAGTAAAATGCAAAGTGGGAGAAAGAGAGAGAGAGGCAACTTCCCTGTCGCGCTCGATATGAAGTCACGTATCAGTCTTGCTAATCCTCAATGACTCAATGTTGCAACTTACTCGGTGTTCCTTCCGCTGCCGTCTGTAACAGTTCCAACCTCAAAGAGACATCACACCCATATCAGCTGAATCTGAGATCCAGGAAGTATGTTCCCCTGGCGCTCTACTAGGTATACCTGAGGAGAAACCTATTGGGGAATAGGATGCAATCTTTTCTACAACGCCGGCGTGCGGGCGTTGAAGCCCAGGCGCAAATCGACAGAGACATTGGAAAAGCACAGTCCTCAGCAGCACAAGAAAGGCCGCACGACGGTATAGGCAGAGACCTTGAGAATCAATCTTCTTCATCACAGGAGGAGGAGAAGCGAGCAAGTCCACTCTTGGAATCACTAGGCGGTACTACCACCACCAAACCCGAAAGCAACGACCACCGGAATCATGAAGGGGAGTACGATGCCTCCGGTCCAAACGTCGAACGAAGCCAGACGGCACGGACCGGACACTCCGAAGGCACAGCCCTCGGCCGCGTCCTAACCGGCATCCACGTCCGGGACCGGACCGGTGAAGAGGGCCACGGCGGTCGTGTCTTCGTCGTCGGCTGGGCGGGGCCGGACGACCCCTTGGACCCGCACAACTGGCCCACGGCGAAGCGCATCGGCGTGACGCTCCAAATCTCCCTCATCGCCCTCTTCGTCGGCTCCGCGTCCGGCATCGACGCCACGGTCCTCCCGCAGGCCGCGCAGGATCTCGGCGTCAGCCAGGTCGCCGAGTCGCTCGCCACGGGCCTCTACCTCGTCGGCATGGGCCTGGGCTCCCTCATCGCGGGGCCCTTTTCCGAAACCTTTGGTCGCAACGCCGTGTACGCGGCTTCCATGGCCATCTTCATGATTTGGATCATGGCGTCCGGCCTGGCGCCCAACTTTGGCGCGCAAATCGTCTTCCGCTTCCTGGCGGGATGCTCCGCCTCGACGCCCCTCGTCTGCTCCGGCGGCTCCATCGCAGACATGTACAATCGGCTCGAAAAGACGTGGAGTTTTCCCTTGTACGCGATAACCTGCTTCGGCGGCCCCATGATCGGCGCCGTCATGGGCGCCTACATCGGGCCTTCCAACGCCGTGAGCTGGCGCTGGGTAGAGTGGACGACGCTCATCTCCTCCGGGCTCGTGCTGGTGCTCGTCCTGCTCTTCATGCCCGAGACGTACGGCCCGCTGCTCCTGCAGTGGAAGGCCGCACACTACCGTCGCATCACGGGCGATGACCGCTTCCGCTCCGAGCACGAGATCGTCGACGCCACGCTCTTCAGCCGCCTCAAGACGAGCATGACGAGGCCGTTCCTCATGCTGACGGAGCCCATCATCATCGCCATGACGCTGTACATCACCGTCGTCTACATCGTCCTCTTCACTTTTCTCGTCGGGTGGCCCTACATCTTTGAGTATACCTACGGTCTCGACCAAGGGCTCGCCAACATCGTCTTCATCTCCATGTTCGTCGGCACGCAGGTCAATTTCCTCTTTGTGCCCTTCATCTACGCCAAGACAGCGAAACGGGTCAAAAGCAATGGTGGAAAAGCGGGCTTCAAACCAGAGATCCGTCTGTGGTACGCCACCTCCGGCGCCGCCGTCTCCCTCCCCATATCGCTTTTCTGGCTCGGCTGGACAAACTTCTCCAACATCAGCGTCTGGTCTGCCATCTTCGCGGTCGCCGTGTTCGGGTACGGCGTCACCGGCATCTTCATGTGCGTGTACATGTACATAATCGACTCGTACGAGATATACTCGGCCTCTGCGCTCACGTTCGTCGCGCTCATCAGGTATATGGTTGCGGGCGGCATGACCGTGGTAGGAATCCCCTTTTACGAGAAGATGGGAACGCACTACACTCTGACTATCCTCGCCTGTATATCGGCCGTGCTTGCGCCGATACCCTATGTTTTGTACTACTATGGCCACTGGCTTCGAGCCAAGAGCCGCTTTGCGGTATCAATGTAAAGTAGTATCACATCTAGACAGCGTCACCTTTCTCCTAAATAGCACATCACGCTGCTGCACGTACATTTGTATATTTCTTCATGAGTTGTAGGATAATGATGACCATCCTACCTAGCTCAAGAAAAACGCTGAGCCGCAAGCTAGATCTAGCTGACGCGGTGCGGCCAGGCTGTTTGCCTGTCGAAGAGAGAGTGTTTTATGTGTACTCGGCCACGATATCGATATGCATCTAATGAATCCGAGACTTGAAGGTTTCGGATTAACAAGGATCTAGACGGACACCTCCAAACGAAAACCCTCCAATCCACTTTCTTTCAAAGTCTTTGGAAACCATCAGGAACGCCTCACCATCGCTGCCGACTTCCACTTCTGGCCCGGGCACCTCGCACCAGCCAGTGTTCCTGAAAGTATTCCAAAGCCCTGGCCCAATGACTTGCTCTTTGTAACCATCCTCCAAGAGTTGGGGAGGAAACCGTGGAGTGATATCAGCATCGACGAATTGGCCGAGGAAGTTATTAGGGCTCCTTGCTCGCCCGGCGCTGCAACGCAAGTTCCAGGGATAAAACCATGGAGAATCTGGCATTGGTTTACCCATCTCGATCAAGTCTGCCGGGAAGTATCTTTCTCTGATCGTATTTTCTGGTGAACCATCGGGGGACCAGCAGGGTGGCACAGATTGTGATGAACTAGGACAGTTCTTGCCTGCAAAGAACCAAAATACCCACCGAGAGCGGTACCGGCCAGGGTCTATCCACTTGATGTGCCCACGAATCTGCAAGTTCACGATGCGGCGACACGTCAGAATAGTTTCTCCAATCGGTTTAACACTGTTCTGGCTCTCAATGTGTGGCTCAATGGTTGTTCCAAGAGGATAGCCATTGTCCCCCACGGGTTCCCTGTACCAGAGTAGGCGCCCTGGAAAGTCTTGATCGAGATCTTTCTCGTGTAGGCTCGAGAAAATCTTGGAGGGAATGGCGTGGGGTCTTGGAGCACCATTGTGCTTATTCCATTGTTTTTCACGCTCCCTTTCGATTTCGAGCGTCTCATCTCGAGCCACCAGTGAGTTCCTAGCAAGGATTTTGAGCCTTTCAATAACGTTATCGTACTCGTCATCATGGGGCCCGAATTTCACCATGTTAGAATGAGTACGGGCAATGGGGCACGTGTGCTGGGGGCCTCCTTCCCAGCGGCGGCGATGAGTTGCCGATTCTTGGTCAACAAGAAGCTCGGGTCTTCCAGTCATCTTCCAGTTTCCGGCTTCGTCCTGCTTGGTGTCAACGCTGATACAAAGGGCGCAGTGGAGATGACTCGTTCACCTTCTGTGCCGTTGGCGACACGTGTGTCTCGTAGAAGCACACGATCTCAGAGTCGCCTTCTCCGCCCAGGGCTGCAGGAAATTCCTTCTCGCCAACACTTATGATCTGCGAACCAAGGCGATCTAGCGACTGAAGAAGGGGAAGGTTTGGCCCGTATCCAACGATGGGGATGAGCGATTCAATCTTCATACCAAGGTGAGGAACTCCAAAGAAGGCGATACCATATACCGCCCGAACGATCTGTGAATCTTGTTCGTTGTCGGACTTGAACATATCAATCAGCGCCTAGATTCCTTGTTAAACCTGTGCAACCTTAAGGGAGTCATCTCATTCAACCAACCTGCTTCGCGATGAGCCCACCCATGCTATGGGCAATTAGAATTATCGGTCTAGTTGGAGGGCCAGCTAACGGGAGTAGGCTGTTGCGGAACTTCTTTGCCAGGTCTTCTATCTTTTGGATACTTTTACTGTCTGCAAGAGTAGAATTGTAACCCCAAGTTATAACTCGAGCAATCTGAGTCTTATCCTTGGCTTCTCTCAGGTGAAATGGAAGAGAGTCTCGTAGCCACATGTGGCTTCCGCCCCTTTCCTTGAACGAACCGAAGGCGTGTCCGCCAAGCCCAGGAATCGCGACAACACTGTCAAATAATCAGCGTTGGCATCATATATTCATTAGGTATACATGATGCTTACTCAATCTTGTGACCCTTTGATGACGGCATGTGCAGAGTAGTCATTCCCTCGAAATCGTTGTCGATCATCATAGATTGACTTTGGAGGCTACGGCGTCCTTCAACGGACACGTCAGGTAGCTGGATGTACCACGGTGGACGACTCAACTTGTGTGCTTGGAACTGAGATGGTGGGATTTTGAAAGTGACTGTGGCAGTGTTGGAGCGGCCGTGAATCTCGCGAGCGATAGACTTGACAACTGGTTTGCTCAGAGGATCGAGCTCACTTAGGTGCAACTCTAGATCATTGCCGCTCCATGTAAGAGGCACCCCGCGGATGCGAAATGTCTTGGTGGGATTGAATGACGGCACCGGTACGTTTCCGCGTGGTCTCTTGTAAAAGTGTAGAAAAGCGAAGATGGCCAGTGTAGCCAGAAAGTAAGACAGCGGCAAGCTCACTGGCTCCATCTTTCGAGAAGAACTGCTCCGTTTCTGTTTCTGATGATCTTTGACAGCGTCAAATTGAATCGTTGTCTGTGCTTAGGAAGTCGATCAAGAAAGTAGATCCTAGGACAGAAGGTAGGAGGGAAAGAGGGAACACACAAGGGAATTACAGATACTGACCAACCTTTTTTATGAAGTTGCGGCTGGATCAGGCGTGATATGGTAGCCAATGAACCAAGACAGCGGTCAGTTGGGGCTGAAAATCGGAACACTTCTAAGCCACTGATCTTGGCTGCTTGTAGTGAAGCCATCAACTCGCACATTGATGCAAGGGCAGGCATACGTAGGCGCCATAGACCCGAATCGATCATTTTGAACGGACTATGCAGGCTGCGCCACATTACTTTGTCTCGGCTGTGATAGGAGATGTGGAGGATCAGGCTGGCGAGTGGGCTCGACCGACTTATCCAGAGAATCGGGTTAATACCTGAGGGGAAGAATAGATCATGAGTCAACTGTCAAATTAATGCTATTGATAATCCTCTCTCTCAATGATTGATCCACTGCATTTGATAAAGGTCTAAAGAGCGCCACCATAAGCAGACTGCCTCGATATCATTCTACTGTATTTTCCCGCCCAGCCGTCACTTTTTTGTGATACTGAAGCGTTGACAGAAGATAGAAAACAAAAAGACTCGACCACACAATCAACATAATTGCAATCGCCGCTGCAACGAATCCGAGTGACATGAGAGCAACACCGTATGAAAATGCTTGAAACTTCCCATCCGACCCCAGCCTCTCAGTTGCCAGGGCCACTTGCAAGGCCGACAGAATGACCGTGATGTAGATGAAAACCACCAAGAGCCAGCCAAAGTTGCGCTCGAAAAAGGTGGTGTACTGCTTCGAACCCGAAATATAGCCGTACACAAAGTTCCTCGCCGACAACCCAGCTGCGCCCAAGCGGGAGAGCGTGTTGAGGCGGGACAGGCGGAGTTCGCCATATTCGTAACGACGGCTCACCCAGCTCCGCGTTTGGAAGTCGTTTTGGTGGGAGAATTCGAGCACCATGTTTGTCCAATCTTCCCATGTTAGGCAAGAAGGCAGTAAACCCATCTCGTGTGCGATTCGCAGATCGCTGCGGTAGCTAACGAGCCATACGTATGAGAGCAGCAACCCGCAAGCACTCTTATATAGCGCCTCATCCCCACAGATTGTGTCTTGCCACAAGGAGTGATCGAAAAAGTAGTCAGGTAAGGGCTTGATAAATATGGTCGTCTCGTGCCACGTCATATGCTCCTCGGGGTTCTCGGTCACGCAAATGTTCCGCCCGACTACCTTTTGGCGATGAAGTGGACGCGCCGCTCGGAGAAGCCCCGCGAGCCACAGGTATGGGTACATCTTCTCCAACCTCGGGGTTTGCAGGTCGGTCTCGAGGAATAAAGTGACGCTTTCTCTGGCATTGACTAGTCGGTCATCGTTCCGGAAGATGGGGGGCAGAGTGGTGTTTATCGAAAGACGAAGGGCGGTGTCTCGCGAGACGGGTACGGGAGATTTGGGTGGTGGTGCAGTTGCATGCAGCGTTTGGGCCATCGCGCCGCCAACTTCGAGGTCGGGGATACAGTCTGACCATGGATGAGGAGACAAGATACTGCGAGACAAGTTGGTTCGACCGATTGAGCGGCTTCCGTAACAGTACTCTCAAATTGACGAATGTATGCCTGCTTATAAAGTATTCTTACGAGCAGGCTAAAGCGGATGGGAAGCATCGGTATCGGTGATCCAGAGCCTTATGCCAGTGATTTGGCCAGGGTGAGCCATGGCTGCTTCTATGCATACCTACATTCAAGCACAGTGGGTGTATGCAGTAACCGGCTGCACTCAAGCCGAGATTTGATTCCCTCCGAAGGCTGAAATTAGCTCCGATCAATTGAGACACACCTGCTTCTCCTGGCCGTTTTAGCTCAGCTAAGGTACTCAGTATAGACCTTATCTCGCAGTCGAAGCAAGCATCCAGTCAGCCGCTGCCAGGGCTGGTGCAACAAGTGTGGGAAACGTGACGCAAAGGACTGTTCCATAGCGCCAAAGCTCTTCAAGACGGAATCCCCCTGCTGAATCAGGTAGGTACACACACAAGTGCGGGCGCCTAATATCACCAACAGCTCCGGGAATGACCCGGGAGCGGGCCCGGCGCTGCGGTCCGGAGGTGGAGTTGTTCTAAGGTGCATTGCCATTGAGGAGATCAAGGACATTGATAGCTGCGGGCGATGTTGAGAGTACAACCCAGCATGCGCGAAGACCCCAACAACCAGACATAAATAAAGCCGGCCAACCACAAAGAAGCCGGGATTGGACATCTGGAAGAGGAGAAAAGAGACAAGAAACAGATATGAATCCCGGGTTTGCATAGCAATAACAGTCAAGGAAACTCTTCACAAATCAGCAACTCTTTATTCTCGAGGGTTTCTCCTATTCCCCCGCCCCTCCAATCCATGGGCCTTGTCTCCCGAGAAATGTTGCACTTCACACGTTCTGCCTAATTGCTGTGAGTCTTCTCAACTCCCACGTG